TCTGTGGCAGGCAACCGAAGTTGTAGCCCATCCTGTCAGCGGCACTTTTTAGAAAGATGGCATCTGCCTTTCGGCTCGACGCTGCAGCACATGCAGGGCACCGCCCCGGGAAAGATGAACCATGAATTGCCAAAAGTACTTGGGAACGCAAGCTGCTGGAATATCGGGCACCTTACATATCTGACTTTAGCAATGTGATGCTCTGATTGCAGGGCTGAAGCCTCACATTCTGGACATGTTGCAGACTGCGGATCTCGTGGACTGCATCCCATCAAAATGCCCAAAGCGAACGCGGGACTTTGAGCATTTCTTGTCGTCCGGACTTTGGAGTCCAGCTAAGCCGCCAAATATGAAAGGAGGCTCCTTATCTATCCCCATTGTGTAGGCCCCTACATTGCTCTTCCTCGATCAGTAGGTGCGCGATGCAAGAGCCTGCAAAGACTTTGAACTCAGATGCTGGTCGTCACCATGCCCACAAGAGTGTAGGCCACATGCCCTCTCTAAAAAGGGTCGAAAGCATCCAGGAATGGAGAGCGTCTCCGAAGTCTGCTCAAATGGGACTACTTTGGAGAGCGAGGCCGGCATCAAACCGACACAGCCAATATGCGATTGACCGTTTCAAACTCATTATCCCTCTTCCCTCAGACAGGCCTCAGTCTTACCATGCTACAGTATGTTTTACTCAGTCAAGGGCGTAATTTATTTGCCTCGTGCGTCGCTTCCACCATGAATCCGCACAGATGTTTAGGCTTGGATTCAGGGCCCAACCATCTCTTTAAATCGACCCTGCAAGCTTCCGGCTTCGTGGTCTCGGGAGAAGCGCCTTCTTCCCCGGTTTCAGGTCTCCTTCTGCAAGAGAATCGTTCTGCGACGTGCCAGGCGCGGAGCGGGACTTCTGGTAGCATCGTTTGGGATTTCAATAGTACTGGGTAATCTTTGGTTTCAGTTTCGGGTTCTGTGCCGCAACTTCTGGGACACCATGCAGTTACGCGTAGTGTTCCCAACTTTCGGCACCCAGCACCATCAACCCGGCATATTCTGTCCATTCGTTTCTCCACACGTGAGACTCTATTCCCACAGACATGCGCATGATGTGGAAGGGTGAGTTCACTCAGTCCCCGGTGGCATGATACCAGGGTCTAAGCTCATGCAGTTTCTGGCTAGTGCAGTACTGGTGTGCTCGAAGGGCAGGGTACAGGGGGCGGCGAAGGGGGTCGGGGCACTGCATGGTTCATACAGATTGTCATTTCGTTGAATGGTATCGTTTGGGTTGCTCCAGAGATGTTATGATGGAATGATACGAGCAACAAGGCACTCAAACCAGAAGCTGATGTAGTCCCTTCGTTTCTTCTGATCCAATCGTCCGTCAATTCCGAAGGCCGTAATTAGGTACAAGTAGCATGCAAGGGCCACACAAAACCTTTTGATATCGTCCGTACTTGAGATCAGGGCAACCTGGCTGTCGTTACTGCCTGTTTTGGATTGCGCTATGTATTGGTCTCTGGTGTGAAGGAGTCTCTAGGGTCAGTGAGATCCTGCAGCGGAGAAGCACAGGCATCAGCTGTTTTCATCTCTCGCGAGTTGTGAGTTGTGGTCGGGGTTCTGAACATTTGGCCAGGGACGATTCACTACAGGCTGAATCAAAGGCTTGTTCCTTTCCGCCCTGCCCTGTAGTAGGCTTAATGCTGTCACGAGTGCCGAATCAATTCTGCCCTTTTGGCGAAGAATATTCGCACCGCTATGCCCGCTAGCCGCTAGTCACTAGTCCGGCCAATGCCATGGGGACCATTCGTAGCAAGTTCGATTCGATGGTATTTCGTCTGCTATGAGGGTTTTTGTTGCCATGGTCTACAACATTGGTTGGTCAGCGAGTTATTTGAGGTGGTTCCTCAGTCAACCAGGCCGTTACCCCTCACCAAGCTGTTTTGTGAAGTTATTCTTAGGTTCATGAAATGAGAAGTGAGTTAAAGGCGTAGCCTCTAGACACATTCCATTATGGTGAGCATGATTTCCCAAGCAAGCAATTGTTTTTGTTGTTTTCGAGCTAGTCCGAGCACGCTGGAATTCCCGCGCTCTTGGAAAGGGCAGTATTTGGTTCGTCTCGACGCAGGGCGCTCATGGAAGCTCAGGTCTCGCATAGCTGGCAGGGTGATACCGTAAGTGATACGTTCTGTGGGGTCCGGGGCACACACTACCGTGGAACCCTCCAATGGGGCATCGTGTTTCGGAGCGCCACGCACGGTCACGAAACACTGAAGGCCGGGAACATCAACCCGAAGCATGGCCTTCCGCCCGCTTAGAAAACGACATGATTTTTTCTGGCATTCCATACCAGCGGCGAAACCAACAGGAAGTCAAGAAGCTGCGGACCCTTCTCTCGTACAACTAGATTGGGACTTCCCCACCACTAACCGGAATAGCACCCCCCGACTTTCTCATGGCTTCTCTCGAGAGCGACAGGCAGAAGAGCCGTCTGTCCTTCTCCGGCTGGAGAAGGCTGTTTTCGCTGCCACTCGGAGCTGAATTCAGAGGATCGAGGCGGCAAGAATTCACACCTTGCTCGATTCCCGTGCCTGCTGCAGCAGAAACAGAAAAGGCATGTTCAAGCAATCGCCAAAAGAGGGTTGCATTTTGCAGGTGTGCCCTTCAATCCAGGCCAAAACAAGGTCCAAAACAAGCCTGCAATTTTGCAGGTGCATATAGGTCTTAGTAGAAACCCCTCGTCTACATGCACAGTCCCACAGATCGTGCCCCCCTTGCCCTTGCGGTGCGTGAAGAGCAGGACATCGTGGGCATCTTCCGGAAGGAGCTGGAGCATCGAATGATGCTGCAAGACCTCAAGATCGCTCCTGGGAGGCATTCTTTCAAGAATATGCGATTATACTCTGTATGTATATATATATATATATATACATATGTATATATTATAGCAATATATTATATTATATCATATATCGATATATTATACTATATATTTATATGTATATATGTTATATATACACATGCAAGTATTGCAATTGTCACTTTGAACGAGTGCTATTTGTATTTACTTAGTAGCGTCGTCGCGTAATTGCGATTTGCATCTGCCGCAAGCAGAAATTTTCAATTTGTAACCAGAGCCGGTGCATCAAAAGCAACGGAAATCCACCAGAATCCTATCAGGTTCTTCGCATTTCGGGTCGTCTGAAAAGGCTTGGGGGAGCCCGTAAACCAACACACAATGAACAAACAGCAAAATGCCACCAAAAATGACCCTGTGCAAAGAAAGCGAGTAAATTCAGTAGCGTCGGGTAATGTTCCGAAACCCACGCGATAAGCAAATCAGACCAAAACCGTGACAAAATTAAATCAACGAAATGCGAAAAATCGCTCCGCAAGGAAATGTCCGATCTCTATGTCAAGGCAGTGGTTGGCAGAGGCTCATTCGGCCTTGTCAAGCTGGTGTATCATAAGCGGGACAGGCAACCTGGCAAAAGTCGTGGCCACAGACAAGCAGTCATGCGATCCCATTGCAGGTAAGACCCCGTCTCGACATGCTTGGGGTATCCAAGGCAGAAGTATTATGCCCTGAAGTGCATTGGCAAGAAGCAGGTGGTACAGCAAAAGCAAGAAAAGTCAATGATTCTTGAGCGCGAGATCAACTCGCAGTGTTATCATCCTTGCATTATGCATTTCATCACCACTTTTCAGGACCGTGCCTGAGTTCAATTGCGCTGCATGCGTGCGCAGATTGAACGTAAGCTCTGCCTTTGGCGTGAGGACGCCAAGAACGTGTACTTCCTCACAGAGTTCCTGGGAGGGGGTGACCTTTTCACTGCCATTCGTGAGATCGGCAACCTCAGCAAACGGCAATCTCAGCACCACGACTGCAGCTGTTAATCTACACCGTGCATTGGTGCACGTTTCATGTATCTGCTAAGACAAGTGTAAGATAATGAAGTGGCGGTTTCTGAAAATCAATCACCGCGAACTGGACCCTAAATGGATACCTATGTTACACTCAGATACCCCCATATGCTTGAGCCAGGTTTTTTGGGGGCTGCATCACACTTGCCTTGGAGTATCTTCACGGCCGCTCCATCATGTACCGCGACCTCAAGCCAGAGAATGTCGTCCTGGATTTCAGAGGAAACGCCAAGCTGGTGGACTTCGGATGCTGCAAGAAGTGCCTGCAATCCAACACCCTTGTTGGCACTCCGGAGTATTTCGCTCCGGAAAGCATCATTGGGAAAGGCCAGCTGCGATTGCTTGTAGATGTGCGGAGATAACCATTCATGTGCGAGTGCATAGGTTGCATGTGCCGAGTTTGCAGAAAGCAAGAGCCTACCCACGGGTTCCCCCGACCCAGAAAAGGATTCAGTCAATCCTGCTGCGCTGCACCGGAGGCTATACCTGTGCTGTAGACTGGTGGGCGTTAGGGGCAGCCTCCTCAGGCCACGGCGTCCTTGTCTTGCCTCCTAAAAAGCTGACTTCTGTTTTTCGGGAATTCTGGAATGCCATTTCTTAGGTCATGATGCACGAGTTCATTGTGGGCCCACTGCCTTTTGGTCCACTGCCTGGCATCAGCACTCATGACTCACACAGTGGGTGCAGTGCTTCGAACTCCCTCAGGTCGAGACACAGACGACCAGCTCCAGCTTCTGAAGGAGATCATGGAGGCGCCGAAAGCAGAAAGCAGCATGCTTTTGCGCAACGGTGCTCCCGAAGCCGACCTTCCAGGCACCCTTGGCTTTTCCTAGCTACATCAGCGACAAGACGGCTATCAGCCCCCTGGCCTTGCCTGGTCTTGCCGCAATGCCCAGAGAGTAACGAAGTGCAACCAGCGTGCGCTCCTTGAGGCTTGATCTCCCAACTCTTGGAGAGAACCCCCGAGCTTCGGCTGGGGGCAGGTTCCCGTGGAGCAAAGGAGCGATCTTGCAGTACCTATGCTGCTCATGCCCTTGAACGCGAAGAGAGCATAATTCCCGAATTTTAAGTATGTGTTCTTGGCCAGCAACACCAGTCGAGGCTGCAGGTGGCACAGCACTGACTGCCTGAATGTCAGGACCTCCAAGATCATCCGTATTTCTCAGGTCCGTGGCCCCAGATCTGTCAGATGTCATAGGGATTCGATCCTGCGACTTGAAAGTAACTGCTTGTCATTTCACAGTAGGCCCATCTATGTAGCTATCTGCCTGTGTGCATGTATGTTTTTCGAAATGCGTGTGCCATGTGTGTAATTATGGAATAAAGGCATATTCTGCCATATAACTGCTATATATACATAGAATATACAGATATATACACGCGCACATCCATCGACATCCGTACATACATACATACATACATACACATGTGCATATGACGACATCGCACACACTCAGGCACATGTGCACAGTACCCGTCGTGTTGCTGCCTTTATCAACAATGCAGGGTCAAAGATGCCGAGGATTTAGCTGGAATGCGCTTGCGGGCCAGTCAATGCAAGCGCCATGGCTGCCGGACAGGCGGAAAATCCAGGCGGGACCAGATGAACGACCGGCTAGATCGATGCATCTTGCCCCATAGCTAGATGAGAGAGTAAAAGAATTACTTACAAAATCGGTTTCTCCTGCCGAAAGAAATGCACCGTGAGAAAGAGATCGATGCTCTTGAACAAGGTCTGGCATCAGTCCAGGTTTTTTTGGTTTGTGGGGCTTCACAAAAACGTGATCTAGGTTGCGCGGGGCTCGCGAGCGATAAAATCCTAAACAACCGCCTTGCCTTCCTTGTGCGAGTGTGAGCGTCGAAACAACCACATCTATGCTCCTGTACAGAGTCGCGCCAGCGGTAGCAAAGCGTGATACCATCCTGGAGGCCTAGGCCGGATGTGCCGTGAAAGGCCGAGCAGCAGCAGCAGCAGTGGTACTAGTATCAGTAGCAGCAGCAGCATTGGTAGAAGTAGTAACTAGTAGTAGTCGTCGTCGTTGCCGTCGTTGCCGTCGTCGTAGTAGAAGTAGTAGTAGTAGTAGTAGTAGTAGTAGTAGTAGTAGTAGTAGTAGTAGTAGTAGTAGTAGTAGTAGTAGTAGTAGTAGTAGTAGTAGTAGTGGTAGTGGTAGTGGTAGTAGTAGTAGTAGGAGTAGTAGGAGTAGTAGGAGTAGTAGGAGTAGTAGGTGTGGTGGGGGTAGGGGCAGGGGTCCGGGCGGTGGCGGTGGTGGTGATAGTAGTAGTAGTCGTCGTGGTGGTGGTGGTGGTAATTCTGGTACAAGTCGTCGTAGCCGAAGTAGTAGTAGTCGTAGTAGTAGTAGGAGGAGGAGGAGTCGGAAGAGGAGGAGTGCTAGTACTAGTAGTAGCAGACGTAGGAGTAGGAGCAGCAGCGTGGCGTAGCTTCGGCAGCCATAAAGACAGATGACCAAGTGCATCAAAACAACGTGACGTGTCAGGAGTCTTGGGAGATTCCTTCTGATGCTGGGCAGCCTGTGTGTCCCGAGGTGGCTTTGTAGCCCTGGCAGCCGGTCTAATTCCAAAACATCCTAAGCCCATGATTGGATTTCGGATTTCCGGTTCCGTTTTGTAAGCCTACGCTACGGTATGGAAGGTGGTCGAAAGCTGCGATTTGCGACGAATACTTTGACGTCAGTGGAATGCTTGGTGCTGAGCCCCAGGTGGCTAATGAGGGCTCCCAATCCATGGATCCCGCGATGGATGCTGGGCTGCATGGAGATCTGGGCGTGGTTCCGACCGTGAAGTAGGTGTCCCACCCGAAGCCCTCGAACAAGCATCCTCGAACGACACTGTGAGCTGAGCTGTGCAGGAATGGGCCAAGGATTTCTGATCCTCGCACGTCTGAAGAATTGCGAGTTGGGCCAAGGCTGCCCACGGCGAGAGGCTTTCATGCAGGATGGCCATGAAGGCAAACGATGCAGTACATACACTTCATGAAATGCAACAAGATCTGCTCGGCTGTTACGTTCGCCCGTCCTGCTGTCTCACCAGGGATTGGAGAAAGATCTTTAGCTCTCCAGGAGTGTGTTCTTGCTTCACCCCTGATTTGGAGCAAGGTCTCGACATTCCACAAATTCCTAGCTGAAGTGTAGACATAACATCCGACCCGCACTCAATGTGCCGATGCACGAGAGGAATTGATGTCTAAGACTTCAGGTGCGAGGACTTGCTTCGTCTCTTGCGGAGCCACCACGAGAGGAAATACGGCAGTCGTGCCAAAGTGATGCATGCTTAACACAGGTGGCCCGCCCCCAAAGTTTGCCTTGAACAGCAACCTCTAGAGTCCCTGGGAAGGGCGTGTTGCAAGATCCCCGGGCTACCTATCGTATGGGCAATGATGGGGCTTGTACATGGCCTCGCCGAACAGGTGTTCAAGATTTCTGATGGCTGCTCGAGAACGATCTTAGCAGCTACAGGTACATACCGGGACGCTCATTCACACTGTGCCGATGCGCACGTCGTTGTCGCGCAGTTTTGAAAAAGCCAAACCATATGTTCCAATGTTTTGCTCAATTGCCGAACAGACGGCAGAGGGAGTTTCGGCACTGGTAGTATTAGTACCGCTAGTAGTAGCAAGACTGGTCTTGGTCGTAGTAAGTACTGGAGTAAATAGTAAGTAGTAAGTATGTAGTACTAGCAGTGCTGGTAGTACTAGTAGTACTAGTAGGTACTAGTGATAAGTAGTAGTCGTCGTCGTGGTTGTGGTGGTGGTGGTGGTGGTGGTGGTAGTGGTAGTAGTGGCGGTCGTCGGAGTCGTAGTCGTCGTAGTAGCAGTTCGCAGTTGTCGTAGTAGTGGTGGTAGTAGTAGTAGTAGTAGCAGTACTCGTCGTCGTCGTCGTAGTAGTCGTAGTAGTAGCTGTAGTAGTAGCGGCAGCAGTACTTGTCGTCGTAGTAGTAGCAGCAGCAGTAGTGATCGTGGTCGTTGTCCTTCAAGCGGAAGTGGAAGTAGAAGTGACGTAGAAGTAGTCGTCGCAGTAGCAGTAGACAATAGCTGCGGTAGTGGTGGTGGTAGTAATCGTGCCGTAGTAGTAGTTGTTGTTGAAGTAATAGCAGCAGCAGTGGCAGAAGTAGCAGCACCATTTGCATCATCAGCAGCAGCAGAAGGTGTGTAAGTAGTAGGTGGGCTAGTAGCAGGGCAAGTTGTGCCTAGGGAGGTGGAGGACGAAGGGCAGCATCAAGAGTGGGAGAGCTTGTGCCGGTGGCATTTCGTCGTGGTGGCAGTGGTGGTCATTGTCGTCGTCGCAGGAGTAGCAGTAGCATCAGTAGAAGGATCCATGTTGCACCTGTTCACGACGCTGGGGCGATCACTAATCAGACTCGGAGGCTTGTCAAGAGAGGACATGGCTTTAGTCTTGCACCAAAGTAGGGTCAATCGGCAGTGGCATCGCTAAGGACGTAGGACACGCAGCCCAGACGCAACCATTCAGCTACAAGGAACCGAGGTGGAACCTTTCTTCTCTCAGCATTTCTCGCTGCTTCCTTTCCAGCCCCTGCTTTTCAGCTCCAAGGGCGACTTCTCCCAGGGTCCACGAACTTCGGGTCTGTAGGTCCAAGTTCACCTTGGAAGATTCGCAAATGGGGGAGGCTGCGCAGCCCCGTGAGCCGAGTAGAGACAAACAAAATGGTCCTCCAACATACAAGCAGCTTAACTCCAACCCAGCCGCCCTTGTGTCAAAAAAGCAAAGAAACAAATGAAAAGTCTTCTTGTTGCACGGGTTGGGCGGCCTTTACAACTTTAGTACTTTGCATGCAGGCGCGTTTGGAAGCATCTCCGCGGATCGAGCGCTGGTGCGACCACTAGCTGAAATGGTGTCGCTGACGAGACTTGAACATGTATAGAGCTGAGAGTGCTGTGGCATTCGTTCGCTTCGCTGCAAAATGACAACCGTGGCTTGCAGTTGCAGGATTTGCCTTTCCCTCCCTGCCAGATGAATGTGCCCCATCATGCTTGCTCTCTCGAGTTGTCGCAGTTTCAGGTTATTTAGTTTCACCAGGGAACGAGATCCGTTGCTTGCATATTATGGACTGCCCAGATGATCCTGGGGAGACGAAGTCGGAGAATGCCTGGCTTCTGTCCGCCTTGGACCGTAAGTTCGCAGAGCAGGAGAAGGCCCTGCACCGCTTGCTGGATCAAGTCCTGCGCCGTGACCTGAACTGGGGGTCGGAGCGCAGCAGCGAGGTGCTACTGGAGAGGGAGCCTGTCTGGGAGGTCCCAATGGGGGTCAAAGACTTGGTTGCTGTCCTTCCTTCACAATATGTCGTGGAAGCCAAAGTTTCTACGAAGGAGGCTGAGGATGTGCTGCCGAAGGGCAGCATGAAGGCTAACAAGCGGCGCCACAGAAGTCTCATGGGGACGCAGGTGATGAGGGAGAAGTGGGAGCCGGACCCTCCTCTTAAGCGCTTTGTGAAAGGGCCGCTAGATGGCTACATGGGTGTGGTGGTGGTTGTGAACCTGGTATTTATGATAATCATGACCCAGTGGACTGGATCTCAGGCTGACGTTTTACTAGGTATTTCTACGTCGAGCAATTTGAACCTGACGGAGCACTTTTTCGAGGTCTCGGAGTATGTATTTTTCTTCCTGTTCGTCCTGGATGTCATGATTCGAGTCTGGGTGCTGCGTCGTGAATGGATCTATGACCATCGCGAAGGCTTCATGTACCTTAACGTTTTTGATGCCTGCGTGGTCTTCGTCAATGCATTCGAGCTGCTGATTCTGCCTCTGTCCCGCTCTCAGTGTTAATCATCTGCCCCGGCACAGATTGGCACAGCAGATAGTTCATGGCCTTACATTGCTAATTACTGCTAACGCAAGTATCCAAAGCCAACAGTAGCCCATCTCATCCTCAAACTGTGCTGAGGTTATTCCTGGGCAGTGACCAGGAGCAGCATGCCAACAGCATCCGCGTCATCAAGCTGCTGCGCATTGTCCGCACGCTGCGTATTGTCAAAACGGCCGCCCGGTACAAGATTCGCATTAAAAGCAGTGTCGTCGATGACACTCTGGCTGTTGGTACTACCACGACGACTACTAATCCTACTGCATATATCTTCTTGGCACTGCTACTACTGTTGCAGCTGCGTGGCACCGACTGTGCTGCTGCTACTACTACTACTACTACTACTACTACTACTACTACTACTACTACTACTACTACTACTACATCATCATCATCATCATCAAATTGTTTCCGGGTTGAGAGGGTTGAATTGTTGGATTACAAGTCTCCGACTGTAACCCTGCTTCGCGACTCGCTCAGCCATGCAGGAGGCAACTACGACGACGACTACTACTGCTGACTACTGCCCCTGCTGCTGCTCGTTCTGCTGCTGCTGCTCGTTCTGCTGCTGCTGCTGCTGTTGCTGCTGCTGCTGCTGGTGCTGCTGCTGCCCTTACTGCTCCTACACCTCTTACCATTGTGTAACCTGCAATGCGGGGCGAGAGTCGTGCCAAGTGGGAGCCAAAATTATTGCTACTGCTGCTACGACGACGATGGCTACTACTATCACTGCCATTGCCACCCACACTTCCGCTACCACTACGACGACAACGACTGCCACTCTTACTCCGACTTCTATGGCCACCATCGCCACCACTTCTGCCATTACCACGACGACGACTACTGCTTCTTCTTGTGGCCACTGTCCTGCCTTCTACACTGTTAAAGCTAACTAGTTGCTACAATCACTGCTGCCTACCTCGTACCTACAACCACGAGGACTGCTACTGTTGCTTACGACATTAACAAGGCGTATCTTCTCCAGCTGCTGAGGTGACGATTTTCCGGCAGTTGAGGCTTCTAGTCGGCACGTGCATAGCCAGCATCGGAGCTCTCTTCTGGTCGATGGTCCTGCTGATGGTTTTGAAAGTCGGCTTCGCACTGATCATCTGCCAAGCTTTGCAGGGATACGTCTTGGATGACCAGCAAGATCTGGATACACGGCTGTTAGTCAACAAGTTGTACGGAGACTTTGGCAAAGCTTTCTACACAATGTTCGAGGCGACTCCCTGACAAGTGCATCTTTTCTCTGAGATTCCTGTATTCGAGCCTCAACCGACATCGTACGGGTTAGCAAAAAAAGCTAGGCCACTCCACTCACAGATCAGGTCACTCACTCTGGTAGCTGGCCGGGAGTTGTCCGGCCTGTTGTGGACAACGTGGATGCATTGTACGCCATACCCTTTCTGACATATATTACTTTGGTGGTTTTTGCCGTGATACGGACCCACGGCTGCACGGATCGATTCCCTGAAGGATCGGGCAAGTTAACATTTTTTGCATGGGGCCAGGGCACGTGTTGATGTCTCTGTCATTTATGCATAAGGATCGTTACAGCCCTGTTCCTCAAAGAGACTTTGGCCAGCGCCGCCAATGATGCCGACATGGTCATGGAAGACAACCGTCGAATGGCACGTGATGCCCAGAACAAGCTAGAAGAGCTTTTCCGGGCAGCAGATGACGATGGGGATGGCAACCTTACTAAAGATGAGTTTGCTGCAGCTATGAGTCTGCCCAGCGTGCAAGGCTTCTTGACGTCTCTGGATGTTAGCGTTAGGGACTGCCACCCGCTTTTTGATATCCTGGATGATGGGGACGGACTTATCACGACGGCGGAGTTCTGCAAGGGGCTGATGCAGCTCAAGGGGCAGGCGCGCGCTCTGGATATCTTCGTCTTACAGCGTGAGAATGCTAAGCTCATGAAGGAATGCCAGGACATCCAACGTTCTGTTCTGGACATCTCTGAGTCCTTCAGGGGTGTTGTAAAATAAGGTCTCAAAGAGACCGTGCACGATTCAAATTTTCTCAAGCTTGCTGGCTATGCTGGCCATGTACCAAAAGAAGATCGAAGTGAGGCCGAGACGGATGGAGCCTTGCAGAGTGCAACACTTCAAGAAGTAGCTTAAGCTTATAGGGCGGTTCTGACTTTGTTGTTGACGCAGTGGCTTCAGTGGCTCAGGTGTCCCCTAAGGGGCTGTACTTGGCATCATCTTAGCCACAGCCATGCCGTCAAAATACAGCGGTGGGAAGGTCTCGGAGGTGCAATGGACAGAGTTTCAATCCTGGATGCAGAGACAATTGGACCAGAAGTTCCAGGAGCAGGAAGCAAAGATCAAAGAGGCCCTCGACGGCTTGAACTCTCGAAGTTGGCAATTGGGCGGTGCACGAACGCGTGCAATAAGCGAGATGTCTGCAAGGCACAGCATGGGAGCGGACACGGAACTGGGCATCAGTGCTTCGGACGTTGTTGTCTCTGTGTTTTTGCGCTTGGTAAGCGTAGCAAGACCAGGAATTTTCAACTGGACATCAAAACCATTAGTTCATTAGTGCGTCAACATTTCCTCGAGTCACGGCCGGTAAAGCTTGTGTGGGATGGGGCCCCGCAAGTCCCAGGCAGCACATCGCTTCCCACAGTGCGGATGGATGACTCGATAGAAGTAGTGGCTGAGCCCGTCTCTCCGCACTCGGAGCACTCAGATGCAAAGCATACTCCTCATGTTACTCGCATCTTGGGCAAGGAGGTGGTGCGAGAGAAGTTGAAAGAAAACCAGCCGTTCAAGGCTTTTGTGAAGAAGGGCCTCGATTTCTACATGGCTCTTGTTGTTCTTGCCAACCTCGCATGTATCATAGCCATGACAGAGTGGACGGTGCATCAGACGGACCTGGCACTAGGGCTGACTGATGCAGAATGGTCAGGTGCTTCTCTCGAGACCTTCGAGCTTCTTGAATACGTTTTCTTCGGCATCTATCTGCTCGACGTGCTCCTTCGCATGGCCACTCTGAGGAGGGAGTGGTACTTTGATCAGCTGGAGGGTATCATGTACCTCAACATCTTTGATGGAGTGCTCGTCGTGATAAACCTCTTCGAGTTGGTTGCGCTTCCCATGCCGGCTGCCTAGCATCAGCAATGCATACCGTACCCTCTCCGAACTTCCTGTGGCTTGTCAGCTGAACTGCAACCCCTACTGGTGCCGCTCAGGATACTTCTCGGAGAGGACCAGCAGCAGCATGCTACAACCATTCGGGTGATCAAGCTGGTGCGCATTGTGCGAACGCTTCGCATCTTCAAGACAGTGGCCAAGCGGCACTTGGTGTGACCCTACACTGAGTATCTACGAATCTACAGTGCTTTCTCGATCAAGGGACTGCCTCTGTACAGGGACTGTCAGACCGCGATTGTTGAGACTTCCACAGTCATAGACTGCTAAGCTTGACATGATCTTGTCCTCAATTTGCAAAGTTGCGCAGCACCTCCTCATTGTGGGATGATTTATAATATAGGTTGCAGCATGCTGGAAACGATGACAGTGATAAGCTGTCATGGATTTTGCAGGCACAAACGGATGTTCGTTGATGCAGAGAAGCACATGCTTCTATCGGGAGTTCGTGGTTTTCTGTGGTTTGTCTGTAGGCTCGTGTGATCTGTCGTGGGTGGTTTATGGGCTTGGCGAAGCTTTCCACGGGGTTCCTAGACACTTGGTGAGACGAGACACCATAGCCACTTCCATGCATCCATGTGGCCTTCTTGAAATGATACCCCCTCCCTGTCTGCGAACCTTAGAAGCCTTAGAAGCATATAGCTCCCCGAATACTGGCTCTGATCAGTATTTGCCGTAGACGTGGCGCTGAAGATGAACACGCCTGCACTCATCATATGTCCGCCCTTTTGGAGGTGTCCCTTTTCCGTCAGTTGCGTATTCTGGTGGGAACTTGCTTTGCCAGCATCGGGGCCTTGTTCTGGTCCATGATTCTATTAATCGTGCTGCAGATTGGCTTTGCCCTTGCCATCTGCCAGGCTCTGCAACTTTTCATTCTGGACACACACGCTGACTTTGAAACACGCATGGAGATGCATTCGTATTACGGAAGCTTTGCCAAGGCGCTGTACACAATGTTCGAAATTACTTTTTCGGGCTCATGGCCTGTTCGTGTGAGGCCTGTCATCGAAAAAGTCGATGCTTGGTACTCGGTTCCCTTCCTCGCCTACGTAACTTTCGTGGTCTTCGCAGTGATAAAGATCGTAACCGCCCTTTTCTTGAAGGAGACGCTGACCAGTGCAGCGAATGATGCTGATATGGTACTGGAGGATGCTCGACGCACGGCGCAGGACTATCACTACAAGCTTCAGGAGCTATTCCGCTTGGCCGATGATGACGGTGATGGCAACCTTTCAAGGGATGAGTTCGTGGAGACCATGAGCCTTCCTAGTGTGCAACACTACTTGAGGACCCTGGATATGAGCATTCAAGACTGCAGGCCGTTGTTCGACATCCTTGATGACGGCGATGGGCTTATAACTATCGCCGAATTTGTGAAAGGCCTCTCTCAAATCAAGGGCCAAGCTCGTGCGGTGGACATTGTAATCTTGCAGCGGGAGAATGCGAATCTCTTAGCAGAATGCAAACACATTCGGAAAGACATTGGCCGCATCCAAAGAACTTTACCGAAGATGCTCCGCACAGTGGCCTCTGGCCTCAGCGCGGCTTCCGACGAGTCCGAAACCCTCTTCACGGCATGACGTGGCATGCCCACACCAGTTCTCAATGATCTGGTCAGTTTCACCTGGCAGGCTACCTAGGATTCTGGAGTCATGCAGACGCAAAACCGAAAAGTCTTGCCATTGCAAATTGAACACACTGTCTGCTCGGGAGACACACGCAAGATCGCACAAGTGCCAAGAACGCTCAGCCCTGTCGCGTCTGGCTCAGAGAAGGATAAGTATTTAATCAGAATCAAACTTCCCAGGACGGGAGGTCCCCTTTTAAAGTCCGCACTTGGTGTTGAACTCCAGGGAGCAAGGGCTTCAGCGAAGCTTCGCCCAGAGCCCGGAGCATCGGCATGCCACGCCCTGTGGCAAGCGAGAAGACTGAATGGTCTGATGAGCAGCAGTGGTTTCTTACTGCCCTAGACACGAAGTTTCGACAGCAGGAGGCAGTCATCCGAGCATTGCTTCTCTACTGATTTGAGTCGGCACTTGCATTGTCAGGATTGGGGCTGCATGAGGGAAGGGTGTGTGCGCCGGTATGCACGTGCCCATGAGGGCACGCATGCGCACGCACCAACCCGCATGCACACTCACGCACGTGCACACCCATGGCCATGGCCGCATGCAGGGGCACATGCATAGGCGCACGCACGCGCACGCACGCACGCGCACGCACGCACGCACGCACGGCCACACATGTGTGTACATCGTTTGTTGGGCATATAAGGTTGGAGAGCCATCAGCATTTTCCAGCCAAGCCCCTCTACGATGCGTTTACAGCTGGAGATGCAGGTGGTGCGTTGTACCTCGTCTTTTCCATTGGAGTTGGGCTACAATGGTCAGGCTTCTCACATCGTGTGGGGTATGGTGGTGATTCAGGGCTGAGGGAATGTCTGGCTAAAGGTACGCACTTTCGTCAACCTTTGGCGTCCACTCCATGATACAGAGCCACCAAGAGGCAACAACATCTGCCCTAATCCGTACGAGTGTCTCGTGGCAGTCCTGTCACAAATCTGGAGCTAAAGATGGCATAATTCGAAACATGACTCACTTGTGTTTAAAATTAGTAAACCACCGTGGGCTCTACAGAACCTCGCCTCCAACCTGCAAGCTGCCTCCGGGGGTTTGTGCCGAAACTCAGGAATGGTAGTCTTCCGGCGGCTGCCAGCGAAGCACCACCTAGCCCCCAAAGTGACGGCTTTGTGAGCGTCAACCACACACAGGACGCTTTCTTCAAGCTCTTCTCCAAGCGAATCTAGGGACACTCCCCCTCCTGCACCAAAAAGCATATGCATCGCTGCCGCTGTGCCTTTGCGAATTCGTCTGAATGTGTGAATGTGTGCGGATGTTTGTGGCACGATCCGTGTGTCTCGACGCCTCTTGTCTGGCAAGCTGTTGGTGAACCTGGTCCATGCACCTGTCTACGGGAGTAGAGACCGACTGCTGCCACAGGATATGGCTCCTTCATACACAGCGGTCCACACCGCGAACATAAGTAGCCTTCCGAGGTGACAATCTGCTACACCCTAGCCGAGCCTTGGGGGTTATATCGTTCTTCATGACTCCGACCGCAAGAAGACTCCGTTGAGTCCTGTCCGGGCATGAGGCCCAGGTCCTTGAAAACAGACTTGTGTCTGTGATGATGCAGGCCTGAGACGGGGGTTGATTGATAGGGTGCACTTGAGCAGGAATGAGCTGGTGTCCAGTCCCATGTTGCCATCCTGAATATAGGGTCCAGATGAAGCAGGGGCCACGTGCTCATTCTCACCATGATGTGTTGCTTCATGACGTTCCTACACGGACAACTTCGAAACATAACGGCGGGAGTCAAAGTCAAAAATAGCGGCAGCGAGACAAAATCTCGGCGATCGACAAGACAATCCTGTGCAGAGGCAGCGAATCCGAGCACCACAAGATCCACCCCAGAGCTCAACCAACAAAACTCTGGTCTAAGCGGTGACAGCAGTAGTCGCCGTCGCGGTGGCACAGGTGGTGGGAATTGTAGTTGTCGGTTTGCTTGCCTTTGCTGGTGGAAGACATGCCCGCGACTGCTCTGATCGCTGTCGAGGACTCCACTGAGTCGCAAGAATTACAAGCCACCGAGTCTCAAGAGCTACAGCGCCGAGCGGCGAAGAAGACCAAGAGTCACGAGGCTGAACTTGGCTTCGATATTCCGAAGGCCCCCACCGAAGTACGCCTTAAGGCATTGAAAGCTCCGGACTGAGGCCTGGGCAAGACTACGATGAGCGAAATGCAAGCAGAAGAAGATGCATCGGCCTTGAAGAAATTTGTGAAGGGCCCCTTGGAGGCTCAGCTGCAGTTGCAAGGACTCGCTTCGGAATGGATTCCTCTTGCTCAGTTGTTTCTGGCCAACGGCCAACTCGATCTGGTCCTGCCGGGATGCCCCAAAGTCAGTCTTACCGCACCGGTCGGAAGTCGAAGCTCCCTATACCAATCCGACAAAGAAGAGTCTCCCGTGTGCTTCCCGACGCAGTAGTGGAACAATTCAGGAGAAGTCCCGCTCCTAGTCGGACAGCACGAGCCAAATTCTGGCCAACCGTAGCAGACGTGTTTTTTTGCCCTGTTCTGTTTTCCAAAACTGCCAGTCTGTTTTCCAACACTCTCAGTGAAAGACTTCGCCGCTGACCAGGATGGGTATCTTGGCATCATCGTGCTAGTGAACCTTGGCATGATGGCGGCTGTGGCGCAGATCACCGGTCACGAAGCAGATGTGACTCTTCCTCATCTTCCTCATGCAGTTGTGTTGGAATACTGTCGGTATTATTTTGCATCAGATAGCGGCATGAACATTGCCGTGGGGGTTGGAAGGGTGTAGTTGCGTTGCTCCTCTCTGGCTGCGCCGTTCCCTTGCCTATAAGTATTGCCAGTGTATATACCTGCTGTCGGCTAACCTGCCGCCCTGACAACCTTTTTCGCTGATTGTCGCTTTGCCTCATTCTCCGACCTCCATTGTCTAGTCCGTTCTGAGAAGAGAGCACCCATTGTCCAACCATGATGATGTCCATGGTCTAACCCGTTCTGAGAAGAGAGCTGCCGTGACCCAAGAATGATGACGTCCATGCTCTAACCCGTTCTGAGAGGAGAGCAGCCATGGCCCAAGCATGATGATGTCTAGTCCGTTCTGAGAAGAGAAGATCCATGGCCCATGGTTTCAGGAATCTTCTGAAAAAAGAGCATCCACGGCTCAACCATGGTGACATCCACTGTCGAACCCGTTCTGAGACGAGAGCCTCATGGCCCAACCATGATGACGTGAATGGTTTAGCCTGTTCTTAGAAAAGGGCAGCCATGGCGTTGCCATGATGACGTCCATGGTCTAATGCATTCTGAGAAATGAGCATCCATAACACAGCCATGATGACGCCCATGGTCTAGCCCGTTCTTAGCCCGTTCCGAGAAGCGAGGGGCCATGGCCCCAGTGTGATGACGTCCATGGTCTAATCCGCCCTGAGAGGAGCGCATCCATGGCCAAGCATGATGCCGTCCATGGCTTAATCCGTTATGAGAAGAGAAGAAAGCCTCCGTAACCCAACCATGGTGACCTCCATGGTCTGGCCCGTTCTGAGAAGAGAGCATACATCGCCAAGCATGATGGCATCCATGCGTTCTGAGAAGAGAGCACCCATAGTCCAACCGTCATCATGGTCTAACCCGTTCTGAGAAGTGAGCAGCCATGGCCCAAGCCGGCCAAAGCATGATGACGTCCATGCTTTAACCCGTTCTGAGGTTTCTGACAAGAGAGCTGCCATGGCCCAAGCATGATGACGTCCATGGCCTGGCCCGTTCTAACAAGAGAGCATTCACGGCCCAACCATGCTGAAGAGAGCAGCCATGGCGCAAACATGATGATGTCCATGGTGTAATCCATTTTAAAAAAGGGCATCCATCAGCCATGATGACGTTCTTTGCCCAATCTGTTCGGAGAAGAGTGCATCCATGGCTCGTCCATGGTCCAGTCCGTTGTAAATAGCATCCACTGCCAACCCATGATGACGTCCATGGTCTCATCCGTTCACGTCTGGTCCAATCCGTTCTGAGAAGAGTGCATCCATGGCGCGTCATTGGTCCAATCCGTTCTAGACAGCATCCATTGCACAACCATGCTGACGTCCATGGTCTGATCCGTTCTGAGAAGTGAGCATCCATAACCCAACCATCATGATGCCCATGGTCGAGCCCGTTCTGAGAAGAGAGCAGCCATGGCCCAAGTAAGATGACATCCATGGTCTGATGCGTTTTGAGAAGAGAGCAACCATGGCCCAACCATGATGACGTCCTTGGCCTAATCCGTTTTGATTAAACCATCCATGGCCAAGCATGATGACGTCCATGGTCTAAGCTCTCAGAGTGCATCCATAGCTCAACCATGGTGACGCCCGTTTTGAGAAGCGTCAGCCATGGCCCAACCATGATCACGTACGTTGCCTAGTGCGTTCTCTGAAGAGAGAGCATCCATGGCCAAGCACGATGACGACGTCAATGGTCTAAGCTCTCAGAGTGCATCCATAGCTCAACCATGGTGACGCCCGTTTTGAGAAGCGTCAGCCATGGCCCAACCTGATCACGTGCGTTGCCCAGTGCGTTCTGAGAAGAGAGAGCATCCATGGCCAAGCATCATGACGTTCACGGTTTGATCCGCTCTGAGAACAAACATCCATGCATGTCAACCGCTATTGCACCCGAGTTCGAGACTGCAAGCCCGCTCTGCAATCCCAAATCCATGGTAGCAGTGCGGTCGTTTCTGCTATACGTTCCTGTCGACCAGCCTAGTGGACCCGCTATGCAAGCCCCATAACATGGACTTCTCACTTCACAAACCCACGCTTCCTGCAAAGAGGCCTACCTAGCTCCCTAGTTAGATTTTGCAGATCAGTATGCAGAGTTCGATGCCTTTTCTATTTTATTACTCATTTGTTGGTGACCATCCGCTCGACGACGAACACTTTGCGTCGTATGTTTGCATGTACCAGTACGTGCCTCAGGTGAGCCTCGGCTTGGCTCCACCTGAAATCGTCACCGTGGCACCCGCGTTTGACATCATTGAAACTGTCTTCTTCGTCGTGTACCTGCTCGACGTAGTTGTTCGGATGTTCGTGTTGCGGAAAGAGTGGTATTTCGACGAGGTCGAGGGTATCATGTACATGAACATGTTTGATGCGATCCTGGTCTTGGTGCACGGCTTCGAGCTCCTGCTCCTCCCAGTGCCCTCATCTCAGCTTCCCTCAACCCGGAACCCAGTGTGGGAGGCTGGGGGGGTAGGAAGCCTGCGGATGAAATCACATAGAGACTTAGAAAGTCTGTAGCTTGGTTGATGCATTTCCTCCGGGCATGCTCTGGAAGTGTGGCAGATCCTCTTTCTTTCCATTGAAACTAAGTGTTATTTAGGGAGCTATCTTTTGCAGACTGCCTCCTCAGTCCACGACTCACAGCTGCACTGGTTGAGAAGCTAGTACATAGCCTAACTGAAAAACCGTTTTCCCCAAGTCGTCAAGCAGAATCACCGGCCAATCCGGCGAATCCCAAGCATCCCAAAACGATTCTTGTATTCTTGGAAGGAGCCTAGTACAAAATCCTCTCCGCCATCGCGTAGTCATGGCTTGCCGTTTTGCTCCTGTGGCTCCCGTCCTGAATCCGTCGCGTTGTCCAGCTTCGCAAGAGGCAAAAGAGGCCATGAATCCAGAGCCTTATGACACCTCAGGCCGGTTCGTTTGAGTTGTGAGTGTGGACAAACCAAACAGAACCAAGTCTCAGGTTTTTCTCTGGAGATTCGGAGCAGCGCGCAAGCACCGTCCGGGTCATTAAATTGCTACGACTCTTGGAATCAGCATCATCAGTTTGGGAGAGTCTTGCGAACTAGGTCTCGGAGCATCGTGGGATTTTGCATTCGGCGTTCAGGCCTTGAAACTCGAGCGTTGACAGCGGAGTCAGATACCAGAGTTAGAGCTGAAGCTGCAGGAATCGTGCGGACGCTCCGCATCATCAAGACGGCGGCTTTGTCGGACTGGCAAGTGCTGATAGAATACATTCACTCTGTGAGTCGGAAATGTTCTGGTTGTTTGCGAGTGCTGCAAACAGTTTGGGATAGTTTGGGCCTTTCCCGAGGTTTTGATTTCTTCCATAAGTATGTTGCAGTGTTGTAGTCGAGCTTCCAGACTTAGGGACTTAGGGTGAGCCGGCTCGGATTCTAGCCGCGCATGAAGCCGCAGGTGGCACTGTTTCGGCAGCTTCGTCTGTTGGTGACGACATGTGTGGCCAGCATCGGAGCCCTTTTCTGGTCCATGGTGATGCTCTTTCTCATCAAGCTCGGCTTTTCACTGATTATTTGCCAGGCACTCCAAGGATACATTCTAGATGAAAGCAATGATATGGACACCCGCCTGGAGATGAATTGGTTGTACGGCAGTTTCCTGAAGGCTCTCTACACCATGTTCGAGGTGACACATGCCGGAAGCTGGCCTACGAGAGTGCGGCCAGTCGTTGACAAAGTCAGTCCTTGGTACTGCATCCCGTTCCTGGGATACATCACACTGGTGGTTTTTGCTGTGATACGAGTAGTTACGGCCCTCTTTCTCAAGGCCAGAGTCTTGAGAAACGCGTTTCTGTCATGTCTATGTTTCGTTCATTGACTGATTTGTCCCGGACCAATTTGAGCTTTTTAGATCCCATTGCCCCCGCAGTCACTGCGTGTCGTGCGAGGAGACGCTGGCGAGTGCTGCCAACGACGCTGACATACAGATAGAAGAGAATCGCCGGACTGCAAAGAACTACCAGGAAAAATTGGAAGACCTTTTCCGTGCCGTTGACGAAGATGGTAACGATTGGCTCTCTGCAGAAGAGTTCATCCGGGCATTGAGCCTCCCGAGTGTTCAGCGATACCTGGCCATCCTGGATCTAAAAGTTTCAGATTGCCGCCCTTTGTTCGAGATCCTTGATGATGGCGACGGGAAAATCACCATCGCGGAGTTTTGCCAGGGCTTGAACCAAATCAAGGGGCATGCTCGTGCTCTTGACATGGTTGTGCCTCGGACGTGCAATCCAGGCATCAGGTCATCATGGTAGCCTATAGATAAAGCCTGATGAAACGAAGCATCTCCGACTGTGCCTGAGAGCAATTGGCACGAGCTGTCAAGCTTCGCTGAAGCCTTTCGTGCTTTGGACAGGGAGTGGCTTGTTTTGAGGGTGCAATGCCGCAGTGCCGAGACCAGACAGGCCGAAGCAACAGAGGCTGAACAGGAGAGAAGTAGGACTAAGAATCAAGATTCTGAAAGAGTGAGAAGGCAAGGCAGACAGCAACAGGAGCCCGACATCGGTGCGAATTCCACCCTTCCCAGATCCTCGACCACATGTCGGTTTCGAGGCCCGACCAGACTATGGAGGCTCCAACAGCAACATTTGCCCCGAGCATGAGCCTCCAAAAGACCCCCCAAACTGTGCTGCTCTCCTTGAGCAACTTGAGCTAGTGAAGTGTCTTTGGGATGCAGGAGGCCACAGGCTCACAGGCAGCAGGTTTTGAGTTTGCTTCACTTAGGTCCTACAGCGCGAGAGCGCCAAGGTGCTAAAAGAGTGCCAGGACATTCGCATAGAGGTGAATCTTGGCTGGCACACTGTCTACGGGCTCGTGCTTTTGAGGAGGACTGTCGTGGCAGTCACAAATATGAGGATGGACATGAGGGCTAATCAGTGTCGCTCTACCGCCAATACCGCAGCCGCAGCAATACTCCCAATACGTAGCGTCCCAGATTGATTGACACTGAAGGTTGTGGTTGGTGTGGTCTTCGTCGTTGTCGTAGTTGTATACGCGGTGGTCGTCTTTCTCTACTTGACATCGAGGTGGTTGTCGTTGAGGCAAAGGTCCCAGCCGTAGTCGTAGTCCTCGCAGCAGCAGCAGCAGCAGCAGCACCAGGTACTAGTATGGTACTGCCAGCAGAAAATGGAAGCAGCAGGTCGTACTGAGAAGTAGTAGTAGTAGTAGTAGTAGTAGTAGTAGTAGTAGTAGTAGTAGTAGTAGTAGTAGTAGTAGTAGTAGTTGTAGTTGTAGTAGTAGCAGTAGTAGTTGTAGCTGTAGTTGTAGTTGTAGTTGTAGTGTAGTAGTAGTAGTAGTAGTAGTAGTTAGTAGAGTGTGTTGTTGTTGTTGTTGTTGTTGTTTTGTTGTTGTTGTTGTTGTTGTTGTTGTTGTTGTTGTTGTTGTTGTTGTTGTTGTTGTTGTTGTTGTAGTTGTAGTTGTAGTTGTGTAGTTTGTAGTTGTAGTAGTAGCAGTAGCAGTAGCAGTAGCAGTAGTAGCAGGAGTAGTAGTAGTAGTAGTAGTAGTAGTAGTAGTAGTAGTAGTAGTAGTAGTAGTAGTAGTAGTAGTAGTAGTAGTAGTAGGCGCCAGCCCCCTCCTGTGACCCGCCTCTCGCCTCCTTTGTCGCCCGGGGCAGCCGTTTCAACGCAGCTGTCTCTGCTTCGTTGCCCGGCTAGGGTTTTTCTTATTTACTGTTAGATAGGGTCTTCCTATTAGATAGGGTCTTCCTATTAGACAGGGTTTTACTGTTAGATAGGGTCTTCCTCTGACACAGTGGTGAAAGGAGTTCTGTTTTAAAATGGCTTGGTTTGGCTTGGCTTAGCTTGACCAGTCACGCCTCAGGTAGTAGTAGTCGTCGTCGTCGTCGTGGTGGTGGTGGTGGTGGTCGCGGTCGCGGTCGCGGTCGCGGTGGTGGTGGCGGTGGCGGTAGGGTAACAGTAGGGACAGGGGTAGTCGTAGTGGTAGTTAGTGGTGGTAGTAGTAGTAGTAGGAGGAGTAGGAGTAGGATCAGGAGTAGTAGTAGTAGTAGTAGTAGTAGTAGTAGTAGTAATAGTAGTAGTAGTAGTAGTAGTAGTAGTAGTAGTAGTAGTAGTAGTAGTAGTAGTAGTAGTAGTAGTAGTAATAGTCGTAGTAGTAGGAGTAGGAGTAGGAGTAGGAGTAGGAGTAGTAGTAGTAGAGTGGTAGGCGTCGCAGTCGCAGTGGCAGTGGCAGCAGTCCTAGCAGAACCAGGTGCAGGAAGAGGAGGAGGAGGAGGAGGAGGAGGGGCAGTAGTAGAAGTATTAGTAGCACCGAATCTAGAAGTAGGAGTAATGGTCGCAGAAGTGTTGCCTTTCGTAGCAGTTTGTATGAAGTAGTGATAAGTATTGGTTGTGGCACTCAAACCTACATGTTTCGGATTGAGCACAATCATGATGCCAGTGCCAAGCTGATAAAGCTCCCACTCGCCTGATGACTCTTCAAGCTGAGGAGAGCAATTCTACCAACTCTAGTAGGCGCGGCCAGAAAAAGTGGCAGCAAGACCTTCGGTGGCCGCTGATGGGTAGTGATTTTTTTATGCGCATCTCTCTAGGAGAGGCAGCATTGATCGACTTTTGGCCAAGCCATCGTCGAACTTTCGTAACTTGAGCAGCCTCGCCTGCCACGGCAGTTGCAAGACGGCATTGTGCTTAACTACTCTTCGGTCTAGCCAAAAGCGACAAAGGTAGCAGGCAGGGTTTAGGACTGGAAGCACGCGTGAATGCACATGATATATTAGTTGCATATATAAATAAATGCACATATTATTATGCATACATACAAACATACATACATCGATCTGTGCGCGCATGCATGAGCAATCGCATGCGGATTTGTCTGCGTCTGTATCTGTTTCTGTATCTGCATACATGCATGAAGGGAAGGATGGATGGATGGATGGATGGATGGGTAAGTTTTGTATCTATGTGCACCCGTGTGTGGGTGTGTATGCGTGGGGTACGCCGGCAAAAAGACCTGGAAACGCGACCCGACGACGTGATCTGTGTTGGACCAACCTTTCGTCTCGGCGGACATTCAGAGAAGGTAAGCCAGGTCTGGCACTCAGTGTCTGCGCAGACGCGTGATGCGAAGTTTCAGTGTCAGCGACTCATATGTGCCGGTCGGTGAAATGACCGGAATCGTCTTAAGACTGAAAGGTTCCAAATGGCGATTTGTGCAACAACGAACCAGTGATGACCACAATGAAACGCCCTGCAGAAGCTTTCGTGAGAGTTATGAAGTTCGAACTAGCTGTAACTAGCTGGTTCGGAACTGCACATTTCAACTTTGGATCACACGCCTTCCGAACGCTGCTCGAAGGTCCTTGTGCAGTTTGAGGAGGGGCACACATGGCGTGTGCAGGAAGAAGCTTGCGTTTGAAGCCCCAGGTTCCCATACCCGAGCAAGCAAGCAAGCAAGAGAGAGAAAAAAACCTGAACCATTTTGGCTCAAGTCTAACACCCTTGTTGGGACCCCAGCTGTCACCCGGGGGGGACCTGGTGCTCGTTGTGCGACGGCGCAAGGGTCTGGGACGCTTGCGCTTGCGCTGCGGATGAGTGCCGGCATTTCCGCCACGGAAGAAGCCGACGGCTCTCTCGTATAGCGCAGCACATGGACGATCGTAGCTTCACCAGACCACGGCGGCGGGGTTACTCCAGAAAGGGGAGAATTGGAGTGACTGGTCATTGTCCATAGGGCTCCAAGAGAACCCCGCGAAGACTCAGCTCACAGCAGTCAAGACAAAGCAGGATCTCCAGAATATCCGCGATTTAGCGCCGGTCCCCGACAAGGTGCTGGGTGTGGCTTCAAGCCCAGGACCAACACGTCCCCAGGAGATGCAATGGCTCGAGGCGGCCAAGTGAGTCATCAGCTACCGCCGCAGCGTTTTCAGCAAGAGGCCCGTAGTTTTGGCGTTGTCAAAGCGGCGTACGGCTGGGACAGCTGGCGACTCTGTTCTGCTGTCAGGACGGGGCAGGGATGCTTTTTCCGCGCCAACAAATACTTGAGGGCGATTTTCTAACAAGCGACTGTCATTTGGATGCTTGTGGGCCAAAACCTTTGGCGGTTCATCCACCGCTCGTATGACAACGGCGCTGGAGACTGGCATAGTCGCCGTGGGACGGCTCTCCAAGCACTCCGTTTTTGGCTTAATGAGCGTGGTTGGACCGAGACTGCGCTGGCTGCGAGAGGACCACAAGGACAACACAACTACTTGAAGGGGGACCAGAAAACGGCACCCAGGCTCAAGGGCAGACCCCACCAAGGCCAGGGCGGCCCCAGCCAAGTAAAGCACCCCAACTTCCTCGGCGTCCTCGGCAACACATTACCGAGCTTCCATGGAGGAACAAGCGATCCGGGCAAAGGCGATCGCACAACGGAGAGCCGTTGAGGAGTATTTAATTAATTATGACCGACCAGGGAAACCAGATGCCACCGAGAGGATAGGGCATAAGGCTCCACGACACAAAGGCCAAAGGGGCACTCAACGTGGGAGGGATGGGTGCCAGCACCAGGCTTGCAGAGCCGGCCGACCGGCCGAAGCGCGGAACACGGCTGGTACCGGCGAGAACGAAAGCCGGAGGTGGCTTAGCGCAACGTGTCATCAAGACGGCCATCAGGATGAAGACACGACAGTGACGACACCAGCAGCGACATTGAGGCTAACGAGGTTACACAGTTTTTCCTTATCCTTGAGGTACAAACCTTTAATTAACTGCCTGGGAACCCTGTGATCCGTGCACAACCCAAATAGCAATACCAAGAGTGCTCCCTGCGGTGCGACTTTGTCAGCTGGGCGGGTGGGAAAAAAATACCAAGAGTGGACGTGTTTCCATACTGATGCACTTTACCCGCTGTCTAAATTCGAGTGTGGGGGGGGGGCACACGCCCAAATCCTTTCTGCGAGCATGTGCCCGAATCAAGCACACGGCCGTAAATTAAAACGTATTAAAACGTGTTGTTGCCGCTCGCTCTCATAAGCATGCGGCCCCGCCTGGGCTAGGCATGTACAGCCCAGCCCGTCCTAGATGGGGCAACAGCGGGGAGCTGGGATTGCCCGCTTTCCATACCCCGAGCAAAGCAAAACAAAGTAAAATGAACCAAGCCGTTAAGCAGAAGATAGAAAGAGACATAAAGAGAGAGAGACAGAGAGAGCCAGCTGCAGAGTGACCGATGTCTTTGCGGGAACTCATTAATTCGAGGCTTTGGAGGGCACCCTTTCGTTTTCTTAACCGACAGAGTGGCGTCCCTGCAGCAACAAGAG